GACTTATTTGGTCCTACTAATATCAGGGATATTTGAAATATTGGACAATTTTTTCATACAACGCTAACCAAAATTATTTTTTGCTTACGAAATATTTTATCCGCCTCTGTTGTTTATTACAAACATGAACGTTCTGTTTTTTACAAATAACATTGCTTTTGCGTCATACTTTAATAAAACTGTTTCTATCTAGTTTGAATAACATTTGATAAATAATATATATTATATTTACTTAGGTTTTATTCGAAACATAATAGTTTCCAAATTACTTAATTGTTAATGTTTTTAAAAAGGAAAACCAAAAATTACAATTATCAAAAAAAAATATATTTTTACTTATAATTTTTTCACTATATTTTTTATGTTAAAAGGCCAGTATAGTGGCGTCGAAGCATATTTGTGACGGAGATGTTACAGGTTTACAAGAAGTATTTCATCTGAAAGTGATATTATGAATTTATTTGAACTGCGATAAGTCATTTGATTATCCATAAAAGACAATATATTAAATATTTTTAATAATTCGATATACAATATACAACCAATGCCGATGTGTTAGAAGTTACAATGTACCGTTAACCATACTGTTTATAATTGTTTTGATTTTATTATCAAAACCGTATATTATAGCCGGTATTGTTGTACGTTTTTCTCAGTTTACAATATCAAGTATATTAAACAGACATGTTTTTGACGAGTAGGTTTGAATTCAAACTTAAACCAAACGATATTGTTTTTATGTTTTTTCTGCTGTTGTTGTCGTTGTAGCTGTTCTACAGATGTTTCGAATACCAAAATATTTCACTGAAAAACCACTTATTTTTTGTTCCATATACTATTTGTTTACTACTAATACATTATGCATATTATTGTTGTTTTCAAGTAACTGTATTTTTTGTCCTTTAAAAATGTTGTTATATCGTTTAGAATAGATTTACACTATATTTTAGTTACATCTTCTTTGACCAGTTTGAATTCTAAAAACCATGGTTAAAAAAGCAAATTAATAACATTTGTCCACTATTTTTAGGAAAAAAGATTAACTAATTTCATTCTTTTTCAAAAAATATGCATAATTTTAATTGTAATTCAATATCATATATATATCAGAACATAGTTATTATCAAAATTGAATTTATAAAATACAAGCTGTCCCGACCAGGCGTTGCCCGTGTTTTAGAATAGACACACGATCAGCTGACCGGATCACTGTATCCCTGTGGTATGAAGAACCATAGAGATGCATTGATAACTATTGATACTATTGATAATCATAATTAATCATTTTAATTAACTAAAAATTAAAAACAAGTTCTATCAAATCAAATTCTGATTTTAACCCTTCCCAGGTGAACACAACGCGGCCAAAGATAATATACCATGTATTATTATTATTATTATTATTATTATAAATATGTATACCGTATCTACTCCGAGATAAATCATATTAAGAGGACGTGATATCCCAAATGATATTAATTCTAAAGAAGAAGAGGTTACACACTAAATTAAAAAAAAACAAATGATTGAGATGTTTATTGTGAGTTTTTTAATATAAGAGCTAAATGTAAACAATTATCAAAAGTCTGTTATAATAATTATATTAAACGTCTACATCAGAATTTGTCAAGTAATCCAAAAGGGTTTTGGAAGTTTGATAAGGACCGTAAACAAATAAATTCATTACCCAAACATATGAGATTTAATGATAAATTTTCTGACAATCCTGTCATAATTACTGAATTATTTAAATCATTTTTTTGAATCAGGGTATACGCCTGTAGTAACCGTTAATCAATCTTTCTCCAATTTATCAACAAATAATAATATTATTGATTTCTCTACGTGTACTTTATCTATTGCTGAGGTATTTGATGGATTGTCCATGCTAAAAATTGATTGTACTACTGGACCTGATTTAATACCATCTATTATTCTTTATAATTGCCGGTACTCTCTTACTCGTACAATACATTTTATTTTTTGTCTGTCTTTATCATCTGGGGTTTATCCTTCTTCTTGGAAAGTCAACTACATTTTTCCTATCTTTAAAGCTGGAGATAGGTAGAATATTTCTAATTATCGACCTATCTCTAAAATTAGTGCCTTGCCTAAATTATTTGAACAGCTATTAGAACCAAAAATCTCAGGTATTTTAAACGATACACTTACATCATGCCAAAATGGATTTCGCAAAAAAAAATCAACTGTAACTAATTTATTAGTTTTTTACTCAGACTTAGTCTCTGTAATAAGTAATAAGAGTCGAAATGATGCTATTTATACTGATTTAAGGAAAGCTTTCGATAGTGTTAATCATAGGAAGTTAATTTTAAAACTTGAACAGCTAGGTGTATGTGGCTCTTTCTTAAGTTGGGTTAATTCATATATTTTTAATAGAAAACCGATTGTAAAAATTAATAATTGTTTATCGAAGTGTATTGATGTTACCTCTGGAGTACCACAGGGTGGTCATTTATCTCCAATATTATTTTATATTTTTGTTAATGACTTAGATACTGTTTTTTATTACTATAAGTATTACTATTATTTCACAACATCCTTGACATCGATAGAAAATGTTTTTTTCATCTAAACAACTTCAGGAAAAACAAGTACACTTCAAAGTGTATTTAGAAATAAAACACCCATAATAAAAAACATCATCGAAGCTAAAAATATAAAGGAGAAGTTTTCTGAGGGAACATCATTAATGCGTTTTGCATTATTATCTACAATGCACATATCAATATGATGAATGCAGAAATACATTTTTTTAAAACTTTTTAAAATATCATTGTAACTTTGTTTTAGATTGATATGTTGAAAAACTAATACGAATTTCCTAGAAAAATTTGTCCTCCATATTTTTTATGAAATGTGTTTTATAAGTATGTACAGGTGATTTTAGGCTAAATTTCAGAATCTAGAGCGTTTTTCCTTTGTTAAAATAATGTTAATTGTTGTTGCAATCGAACAATTGAACATTTTATATTTGTTTGGTTACATAAACTTATAAATAGATAGAGGATTGTAAGCTAAAATATAAATAATAAATGAAATACAGTTCTGAAAAGATAATTGACTAAAAAATATTTTCCCACAACTAAGATTCAGCAATATATTAAGGAGAACTCGGATCTTTAGTCGTAAGCCGTCTTACTCATCCCGCACAAGGTCAAAATAAATACATGACACAGCGAACACGGACATAGAATAGACGGATTCGAGACGGTTAAACAAAATATAACACTAAAAATCACAATCCTTTAACGAGAACCTAATTGACGTTTTGATTATACCTATTTTGATTTTAGTACAACCAATTGAAAAATTACAGATTCAGTGTTGCCACTGTTTTCTAACATTTAAATGATACCAGATAACTTTTCTGATATTATATGTTCAACTAGAATTATTAAAAATCGATAAAGAAAAAAAAAATTGAGCTTATATACTTGGTCACATTAATAATTGATAATGACAAATTTAAGGGATGAAGTGGTAAAACGGTTAAAACTATTCACTCGCCAAAGGGTTAATTAATTATTAACCAAGCAATAATTTAATTATGCTTTGAGTTTGTCACCAAATTTATGAATCATAATTGTTTTAGAATAATTTTATTTAAAAAACTTAATTTCGGTCAAATACTTGACCTTTAACACCAAACCATACTACACTCAATGATAGTTATTACTTATTACAATCACATTGAACCGATACCGCACTGTGATATCTTGAGTCTAACTAATTGTGTATGTTTCAAAATCTATCCTCAATTTTCGGAATTTGTGTGCCTATAAGTTCACTTTCACCTTATCAAGTAATAGCTTGCCTCCAATGTATAACGGAATTGGGCTGTTATCAACTCTTCTTATCTCTTATCACATGATGTTAGGTCAGGTTACCGATATTCCTAATCTCTTATCAGCTAATAACACTTATTATTTGTTGCCAAATTGGTTCACCTTTCTGCCACAAGAGGATGTTATTAATGGAGGGGGGGGGAGAGACCCACTTACTACTATATCATAGTACCTATAATCAATAATTGACTTCTTAGATTTTTTTCTTATAGAATGGGAATTATGGTGGTACTAAATTGTCTACGGTTTCGAATAGTGTTTCTTTAATTTTTTTTTTTAATTGTTTAGACAATAATGTCTGTATTTTTTTATACAAGCTACTAATTAAAAGTTAGTCTTAAACACCTATCTTTGATAATATCCTTTTGCATGACTTCTTATAATTCCAGAAGTTACACATTTTTCGAATGATCTCCGAAAGTCTAGAACTACAGCTATTAACAGTCATATTAGGCAAGTACCTTACACAGTCCACTGTACTCATTACTCTAGTAGTACTCAAATACAAAAAAATATTAGTTTTATAGTTGAAATACATTTTATTATATTCCGTTGAAGGTTTGAATGTAACATTTATAAATTTTGCAAACAGCAGACTAAAATTTAAAATTATTATTACAACGGCGTCTTTGGTGTTCTATATATTTTGATTTAATTGTTTAGTGAATTCATTTAGTGTCTCTATGTAATATTGACTTCCGCTTTTCATTAAATGCTTGAATTGTTCAAGAGTTATCCTGCCTAAAATAAATCATTAATTTAAAAATAATTTATTAATTTAAATATATTTTTTTAATACAAAGATCCTGTACTGCTACTACACAAAAGCTCAAAAAAATTGTAAATGCGACGAATTTTTACAAAAATACTATTCCATTTTAATTTAACTTTAAATTATATTAAGCAAATACAATACAATGAAGTTAAATACTAAATTGTGTCACCAACAATACTTTTCCACAAAGAAATGAAGTATGCTTTATGCTATTGTAAAATACAAGAAAATATTCAAACTTTTACTTTTATTTTTTTTTCCAAAGCTCTACCAACTAACTTTGTATATTAAGAATAAACCATCCCAGGTAAGAACAAATATTATTAAATGATAAATTAAGTCCAATTAATAATTACCATTAATTATATCAATACATTCACCGGTCAAGTGGAATTTGTCTAATATAGTGTTACTCTTATCAGTATCATTCACATAGCCACGAAACATATCCAGATTAATAGTACTATGAGCTTCATAATTTAAACCAGTTGTATGTAAAAGTGCTACAAAAATGGTGTACATAAGCTAAAATTTAAATAAACTTATATCATTATAATTCATTACATAAGAAACAGATTACACAATTTAAATTCATTTAAACCAGAGAACTGTATAAATCGAACAGTCATCGAAGACCGACTAACTTTTTACTTATAATACATTTTTTTTTAATTATACTTAGTATTATTTTTAAAAAAATTTACCTCGTTCTCAAGATCCTCTGTTGAAACTAGTCTATTTTCAGGTTTGATATCTAAACCTTTATTTAATACCGAAATGAAATCCTTGTCCTAAAATGTAATTATACTAATATCATTATATTTTATTACATAAGAAATTGATTGCACAATTTAAATGCGTTTAAACCAGAGAATAATCATCAACGGCGCGTCGTGTGACTTGAGATCGACATTGTTTCAATAAATGTTTATTTAAATAAAATTCTATAATTTGTTCATTTAGCTAATAATGGAAAATAGTTATTCATGAATGACTTTTTGATAATATATTGTAACAAAGGTCCCGGAAAAAAAATCACAATTTATTCGCTAACACAAAAGTATTGTTTTAATTAAAATAAAATATGTTTAACACAATCAAATAATCATTTAACACGTTAAAAAAAATTTTAGTGGATAAAAGGTTATTTTTGCCCAAGAAAGCATTCGGACCCTTGTTTGAAATCAATAATGAGAATTTCAATCATAAAAACTGTTAAATTAATCATTAAACATTTATATAATTTTATACATTTCTAAAAGAAATTGTTCTATGATATAAATATTAAATGCCAATATGGGTAATATGAAATACATACTCGTATATAATAAGGTAATAATTGTATTAAATTATTAGTATTAGGTTTTATTATAAAGTATAGAATATCAATTGCTAACTAACCGTAAATATAAAAAAAAATATATATATATACTACTCTTCATAGATTATGAGCAAAAGTGAAAATTAACATCTTAAAATTTATCATAAATCATCTTATTTGCTAGAAAAGAAAATTAAAAAAAAACTAATACAAAAGTAATAAATTTAGCAATATAACTTTACCCCTTTTACTTTGGACTTTATATGGTCGCGTGTTTCTGGTTCCTCTACTTGGACTACTGAAGCTACTAAAAAAAACGTAAGTTTAACTTATACTTATAAAGATAAAAGTAGACCCATGGTAGATCTAAGTTTCTTAAATCTACTTAGAAGAAAATATCATAAAACATCGAAATGAGAGGAATAAATTATTGTTCATATTAGAATTACAAAATAAAATAAAGTCTATGCATAATATCCTTTCGCGTGCTCTCTTATAATTCCAGACGTTAAAGGTTTTGGAATAAACCTTGTAAGTCTAGAACTACAGATATTAACAGCACGGTTGTCTTGTAGACAACCGTGATTAATAGCCATATTAGAGTGGAAGGTAGTAGCTTCCACGCTACTCATTACTCTTGTTAGGCGTAAAACTCAAATAAATAAATACATTTCATTAGTTTAATATTTTAACTAGGTATATTTTATTATTTACCATTTAGCTTCAAATATGGTTTGGTAAATTCATTAATTGTATTAAATGTAGAACGTTCAGTTGCACTTCTTATTAAATGCATAAATTCTTCAAGTGTTATTTTGTCTGAAAAAAATTCATTTTTCTTCATTTGAAAAAAAAAATTATTAATTTATATATATATTTTTAGAATGATAAGAGCAGCTGCAAACTGCTTCTGTACAACAGCCCAGAAACATTTTGTATGCGACGAAGTTTTCAAAAACCTTGCCTTTTGACATTTTCATGCCTTAGCTTTGGTATATAACCCTGGCACATAACCGAAAAAAGCGTAACTAAAAAAGTGTTACCAAAAAAGCGTTATCAAAAAAGCGTAACGAAAAAAAAATTGGGTTGAAGATGAGGTTGGGGGTGGGATGGGGATGGGGGTGGAATTAGCTGTGGCAAATAACCGAAAAAAGTGTTACCAAAAAAAGCGTTACGCTGTTATCTGATATGAGGTATGAGATAGGGGTGGGAGCTAGTGGGTAGGGGATAGGGAAAGATATAAGAGATAAGAGATATGTTGTACGTTAAACGTTCAAATTAGAACTAAATAATAAATTCAAAATAGTTTAAAGGCCCAATTTCTCTATAAATTATTTTAAGCCAGATGTTAAACACTACAATATTAGCCAAAAATTTGATGTTTTAATATACTAGCTTGTTACTGCTTCTTAATATACTATATCATTTTCTATAATTCCACCACTACTCTAAATTTATTCGGTACTTCAACGAGACATGACAATGCTCTTTCGTGGTTGCAGACTCGGCTGAAAAACTTTTTTATTTCAACTTAACATTTTATTAAAAGATAATTCCTTAATACAAGAAGGATGAAGTGAAGTATTATTTGTATCTGTTAGAAATACTCTACCACACTCTATCTCCGGTCTTAAATTATGAACTTTAATAACTTCATATATATTTATCCAAAACTGGTTATCGAACAGTATTTGTTTTCAGCAAATTGTTCTTAATTAAAAATATTAGTAAAACTGTCAAAATGTTTAGTACATTATTCCAAATTTAAAAAGTAAAGAAATATATGCGTTACCATTTAAGTTTCAAAATTGCTATAAAAAAACCAAGTTGGGAAGTACGTAAAAAATTGTGAAAAATAGAAATCCTATTGTATATAAATTACATGGAAAAAAAATTGTATTCTTATTCAATTCTATGAGGTATTGAGTGGCTCATGATAAAAAAATCGTCGTGAATCCTTTACGCAAAATTATAATTAATTTAAAATGTGAGTATCATTTATAAGTTTCCATTTGGGTATCAAAAGTTATTAGAGCTGAGACAAATACTAAAAATAATAAATATTTAGTAATTTTGAAAAATTGTAAATAACAGAAATACAAATATTTTCAAATAAAACAACTTCAAAATAATTATAATTACCGAGAAAATTAATCACTATGCATAACTAAACTGTCTTGAGGGGAATGTAATATACATTATTTAAAAAACATTCAACATTTGGCTTAATATATAAAAAAAAGGTGAGCTTTTATTCCCTTTCCATCTCTCCTCAATCTAACCCACCACCTAATAAATAGTCTGATGATCTACTGCAGCTATAGTTAGACCGGTAAATGTAATCCCATTTACTGATTAAACTATAACTGCATTTTACATAGTTATATTTTACTCTAGAAAATGTTGCACATGACGTCCGCTTCGAAGCTAAGAAAAAATATTATTTAATGTTAAATTAATTATAGTTAATGCTTACCAATCACATTGTTACGGGAACTGCTCACACGGCAATAGTTTAATACATATTCACTCATTTCAGAATCGTTCAAGAAGTCACGAAACATTTCCCGAGTAATAGTACTGTGATCTCCACATGCTACACCATTTTTGCTTAAAATGCTTACAAAAGTTCTACGCATAAACTGAAATTGAATTATATTAATTACTTTATTAGTTAATTTAACACTACCACCTATACTACTTGACCAATATATCAGTATTAAGTATTTATTATTGTTATAACAAATCTACCTCGTTCTCAAGCTTCTCGGTTGAAAATGTCACATCCTAAAATGTAATTATACTAATATTATTACAATTTGTTACATAGGACACTGCTTACACATTTTAAATATATTTATAACCAAAGAAAAATGTACATTAAACAGTCATCAAAAACGCATCGTCTGATACAAGCTAGACATTGGCATTGTTTCAATGAATGTTTATTAGAATATATACATAAACACAAAAAAAAATAATTCCATTATTTATTCATTCTATTTAACATGATTAAATTACATTTTTTCCCTTTACAGGTTTTTAGATCATTAATAATTAATAATTAGATTTGTGTCAAAACCCGTTAATCTATAAAAATAATAAATATTGTAAACGACATAACAAAAGTAATATTTTGACCAATATAAGCTTACCGTTATGTCGGTGTCGCTCCTTTCGCCTGTTTCTGGTCCCACTACATTGGCAATCAAAACAGAGGCTATTAAGAAAAAAGTAAGTTTGAAATACATTATGTTTGTAGTTTATCTACTATACGTTTAACTATAACTCAGAAAAAAAACGAATAATCCGTCCTCTCTACAATTCTCCGTTTTATAGGGAATTAAAACCCCTAATGTAAATAATACAATATATATTTGCAAAAATATTTTTGCTTAAAATGTTGATACTATGGACTTTTTTGCATATTAATATGAATAATAAAACTAAATATTGTTCGTGTATTGACGTAATACGATCGAATAATGGGTTTATTTATTCAAAGATCTATCTATGCTAACATATTTTCGACTAAAAATACAGCATGATTTCTGATCAAAAACACAGTGTTGGTTTTTTAGGCACAAATATAATAACCTGAACAACGCCATCCAATGACGCACGACCAATACAAACATTTTATATTGTAGTATTATTTTGTTGTAAATTATAATGTAAATCATTTAAACACACTGTGCTGTTTTGTTGCTTACTTGCAAAGCATGTGTTTATGAAGTCTGTATATTATACAAGGTAAATCTTTTAGCGCCCTACACTACTTTACTCAAAAACTTGATTTTTAAAAAAAAGTATTTTTACTCGTACCCATATGATCTGGAATACTTAGGATTAATTGAGAAATAAATGCTATTCCACCTGCCACATCAGGAATTAAGTGCTAGACACCAACTCGTCAATGAATGAAAATACATTTTTTAAAATCCGATTACGACCGAACTATAGCAAAAACTAATAATCTAAACATTACAAATCCTTTCTGATAGCTGAACTGAGTTTGAGTTTGTAAAAAAAAATTTAGGAACTCGTTAAAGTTAAATTAGGTATTTTGGGACGACACGAAGAGTTCTTTCCAGGAACAATATTGTTTTATATTGGCGCAACTTAACTTTGACATGATTCTAATTAAGTTTTATTTTACAATACCAAAGGTGTTAAGCCTCAGCCATCAGAATGTTTTACCCTTATATTAACTATAGTTTTAGTTGGACCAACTTTGTATTTTTGGAAAAGTTATTTAATTACCTAAAATTATAGGTATCACAAACTACATCTTATGCCCAATATGATTAGTGATATGAACGGGTTTCTTTGTAGGAAACTTATTCATCAATGATTTTCTGATTTAAAGCTCTGTATATTAATAAATTTATCATTTTGACTTATTTGGTCCTACTAATATCAGGGATATTTGAAATATTGGACAATTTTTTCATACAACGCTAACCAAAATTATTTTTTGGTTTATTGTTCACTTGGCAGTAGTTTTCGAAAAATTATTTGAATTATTTAATCGTATTATTTATTTAAATAGTTGTATTTTTTGAAGTATCGATGAGTAAAAATATTTTGTTTCTTGATAAAAACAACGTTTCTCTAAACCTTTTATTATTAAATTATAGTAATATTTACATGTACGAATAAAAATATTTCGTATTCACTATAAATTTTACTGATTTATCAATTTATACATATTATGCATATATGACTTATATACTATTTTGAAAAAAATCAGAATAATTTTATCTAATGTATGCTTTAAAAAACTACGGTAAGATAATATATAAATTATAGAGTTATCATTAATAATATAACGACTTTATAGCCTATACTTATTGGACTTATATCAAAAAATGTTTAACAGATCTAAGAATTCCAAACGAGCATGCGTCGAAAAAGCAGTGGATGCGACACGGATGATTTTCTGATTTAAAGCTCTGTATGATAATGTAGTTAACATTTTGACTTATTTGGTACTACTAATATAACAGGAATATTTGAAATATTGGACAATTTTTTCATACAACGCTAACCAAAATTATTTTTTGCTAACGAAATATTTTATCTGCCTCTGGTGTTTGTTACAAACATGAACGTTCTGTTTTTTACAAATAACATTGCCTTTGCGTCATACTTTAATAAAACTGTTTCTATATAGTTTGTAGAACGTTTGTTAAAGAATATATATTATATCCATTTAGGTTTTATTCGAAACATCATAGTTTCTAAAATACATAATTGTCAATGGTTTTAAAAAGGATCAACTTTGCTGAAACAATATTATTTTATATTGGCGTAACTTAACTTTGACATGTTTTTAATTGAGTCAAATGTATCTATACCTAATAGTTAATACCGGGGTATAAAAATAGATTACCAATATTTTAATAATCAAGTAATAACATCAATTTTGGTAGATACCCGTGAAGGCTTGTTTTTAATTGGTTTAATAAATGTAAATTAATATATGCGTACATTATAAAATGTAAGAGCTATTCAAATTTTGGCAAAAAAAAAGAATTGTCTCAGGCTTATAGCCTAAAAAATAAATCAAAAATACAATAGCTTGAAATGTTTATGTAGCGTTATCTTTTGTCTTTGTATTCTTAACTATGAAAAAAATATATATTTAAATAATTTTCTAAACATGGCTGCTAGAAACTTCATACCGTCATTTGTTTTTGTAAATTATAATATGAACCATCGAAACACATTTTGTTAACTTATTTGCTCATTTTTGTACAATTTTAAAGAATATATTCTTCGTTCTTCGCTGTATGTTTTACCGTGATAATGATATATTTACTTGTTTTGTTTTGTTTCGTTGTTTATTTTGGTTACGAAGTAAAATGAAAAAATATTATCCTTGACGCGAAAATATTGATTTTACATTGATATTTTTGATTATTCGCCCTATCTGTTTGTACTATACGTGGAGACCTTAACTTTTGATCAAATAAGTTATGTGATAGGTATATTAAAGGGTTACAAGTTTATAACAGTTCACTCCTTCACCCTTGAAATTGAGTGGGGAAAAAAGAGAATTAAAGATTATTCCACTTGGACTTGTTAACACTGGACTTGCATTTCCAGAGAAATTGTCAATTCGAGCATTCAATAGCTGATATGCCTACCCTTTCTAAAAATAGCCTCAAACCTAAATTAAACCAATCCCCTCTTCAGGAAGTGGGATTTTTTTTTAAATTTAACCACAATTTTAGGGCTTACCAAAATGTTGCCAATATGGATGGTATTAAAAACATTTATATATAATATTGTACAGTATATTTGCTGTTTTAATTTGTGATTATTACGTATGACGACTATTTAATCGTCTTGGTTTAACCAACGCTAGAAAATTCTAGTAATATTCAAAGAAAACGATAATGCATAACTCACAATGTTAGTAATTTTTAAAAATTACTAAGAAGTTAGAAACATGATTTTAAACTTTCACACGTGTAGATTTTACTGCCAAACGAATAAAATAAAATTATTGTTTTGAAAATTATGTATTTTTTTAATTAATTTAATTAATTTACTCTTAAAAACGAATTTAATATATATATATATATATATATACATTTTTTTTTAAATTAATATTTAGAAAAATTATTCATTTGGTACACATACAGTACAATTAGCATTAGTGCCAAAGAGAATGAAAAAATATAAGGTTATATTCTGACTTCTTTTCATCACTATGCCTTGCTGTTATTTGGCGATTATCTCATACTTGTAGAGTATATTATTAAGTGTTGACTTGTAGACAGAAAAAAATATTATGAGTACAGTTAAAAGTACCTTAGTAAGTTTAAAACAAAAAGGGTTAAATTTGTTGATTGTTTATATTTTTAAATTTTGTTGTAGATATTAACACATCGTAATATTACACTTAGCTGCCAAATTTTCTCTGGAAGGGGTGAATCTTTACACTATTTTGTTTTATAGGTAAAGTTTCCAGATTTTAGGTCTGAAAAGTAGACCAAGGGTAGAGTTTCTTGAATCTACTTTAAAGAAAATATCATAAAACATCGATATTAGTGTAAAATGTACCTATGTATATACAACGTAACTGATGTACAAACTTTATAAACATAAGCAGAGAAAGTAAGCAACAAAATGTGTTTTAATGATTTATGTCATAAATCACAAAAAGAAAAAAAAACACTACGATACCAAATATTTTTTATCGGCCGTGCGTCATTGTGAGGGATTCTTCTGAACTATTATAGTAGGGCCATTAATCCTTAACTATTGGGATCTGATCTAGGTGTTAGTATAATAATATTAAAGTAATAATACTAAAATCGATGACTAATTAAAGTGTTCACAATCAATAGTTATAGATTTTTAGTTATTTTAGACACACATATTTTTTTGGTTACATTTGTTTATCGAAGAATATACAAAACACTTAGTCACACGTTTATAGGTCTTTGTGATACTATTACAGGGTTTTCAAATTTTCATGGTTCACCTTATTTATGGTCTTCCTTGTTTTTTATCACTTACATCTTATCAGCTGATAACGCTTCTCACTTGTAGCCAATTTGGTTCACCTTTCTGACACCAGAGCATGTCACTAATGGGAGGAGAGGGTACAGGGACCCACTTGATACTACAAGAATATACTGATTTCTTAGAATCAATTCGATGTTATTTATTAAGATTTTTTTCTTACAGAATAGGAAATTTATTATTAATTTGTCTATAGTCAATAATAGTGGTATTTTAATTTGTTTTATAATTGCTAAGACAATGATGTCTGTATTTTTTTTATACAAGCTACTAATTAAAGGATAGTCTTGAACTCCTATCCTTGATATCCTTTCGCGTGCTTTCTTATTATTCCAGATGTTACACATTTTTGGAATGATCACCGAAAGTCTAGAACTACAGCTATTAACAGCCATATTATGCAAGTACCTAAAACTTTCCACTCTACTCATTACTCTTGTTAGGCGTAATACTCAAATAAATAAATACATTTCATCAGTTTAATATTTTAAATATATTTTATAATATTCCGTTGAAGGTTTGAATGTAATATTTATAAACATTGCAAGCAGCAGACTAATCTATAATTATTACTACTTCAGTGTTACAATTCAGTGTTTCATTTAGCATCAATGGCTCGGTAAATTCATTTACTGTATTAAATTTAGAAAGTTTAGTTGCACTTCTTATTAAATGTATAAATTCTCCTAGTGATATTTGGCCTAAAAAAAAACATTTTTCTTCAGTTAAAAAAAATATTATTAATTTATATATGTATTTTTAGAATGATAAGAGCAGTTGCAAACTGGCTTCTGCACAACAGCCCAGAAAAATGTTGTATGCGACGAAGTTTTACAAAAACGTTGCCTTTTTTATTAACATTTTATTAAAAGATAACTCCTTAATACAAGCAGGATGAAGTGAAGTATTATTTTTATCTGTTAGAAATATGTTTAATATATAAAAAAAGGTGAGCTTTTATCCCCTTTCCATCTCTCCTCAATCTAACCCACCACCTAATAAATAGTCTGATGATCTACTGCATAAAGTTAGACTGGTAAATGTAATCCAATTTACGTATCTAACTACAGCTGCATTTTACATAGTTATGTTTTACTCTAGAAAATGTTGCACATAACGTCCACTAGAAACTAAGAAAACATTTAATTATAAGTTAATTATAGTTATTGCTTACCAGTCAAATTGTTAAGGGAACCGCTCACACGGCAATTGTTTAATACATATTCACTCATTTCAGAATCGTTCAAGTAGTCACGAAACATTACCAGATTAATAGTACTGTAATCATAATATGGTAGTTCATTTTTGCTTAAAATGTTTACAAAAATTCTACGCATAAGCTGAAATTTAATTTTATTAATTACTTTATTAGTTAATTAATCACTAATTAACTATACTACTTGACCAATATATTAGTATTAAGTATTTATTATTGTTATAAAAAAACTACCTCGTTCTCAAGGTCCGCGGTTGAAATTGTCATATCCTAAAATGTAATTATACTAATATTATTACAATTTGTTACATAAGTAACTGCTTACACATTTTAAATGCATTTATAACCAGAGAACAATATACATTAGTCTAGTACAACAGTCATCGAAAACGCATCGTCTGATACACCTAGACATCGGCATTGTTTCAATAAATGTTTATTTGAATACGCTCACAAACGCAAAAAAAAATAATTCCAATATTTATTCATTCTATTAAACATGATTAAATTACATTTTTTCCCTTTACAAATTTTTGGATCATTAATAATTAATAATTTTATTTGTGTCAAAAGTTAATTTGTTGATTTTGAATAATTTATAAAGCACCATACCCATTAATCTATGAAAAAAAAAAATATTGTAAAGGACATTACAAAAGTAATATTTTGACCAATATAAGCTTACCGTTATGTCGGTGTCGCTCCTTTCGCCTGTTTCTGGTCCCACTACATTGGCAATCAAAACAGAGGCTATTAAGAAAAAAGTAAGTTTGAAATACATTATTTTTGTAGTTTATCTACTATACGTTTAACTATAACTCAGAAAAAAAACGAATAATCCGTCCTCTCTACAATTCTCCGTTTTATAGGGAATTAAAACCCCTAATGTAAATAATACAATATATATTTGCAAAATATTTTTGCTTAAAATGTTGATACTATGGACTTTTGTGCATATTAATATGAATAATAAAACTAAATATTGTTCGTGTATTGACGTAATACGATCGAATAATGGGTTTAATTATTCAAAGATCTATCTATGCTAACATATTTTCGACTAAAAATACAGCATGATTTCTGATCAAAAACACAGTGTTGGTTTTTTAGGCACAAATATAATAACCTGAACAACGCCATCCAATGACGCACGACCAATACAAACATTTTATATTGTAGTATTATTTTGTTGTAAATTATAATGTAAATCATTTAAACACACTGTGCTGTTTTGTTGCTTACTTGCAAAGCATGTGTTTATGAAGTCTGTATATTATACAAGGTAAATCTTTTAGCGCCCTACACTACTTTACTCAAAAACTTGATTTTTAAAAAAAAGTATTTTTACTCGTACCCATATGATCTGGAATACTTAGGATTAATTGAGAAATAAATGCTATTCCACCTGCCACATCAGGAATTAAGTGCTAGACACCAACTCGTCAATGAATGAAAATACATTTTTTAAAATCCGATTACGACCGAACTATAGCAAAAACTAATAATCTAAACATTACAAAACCTTTCTGATAGCTTAACTGAGTTTGAGTTTGTAAAAAAAAATTTTAAGAACTCGTTAAAGTTAAATTAGGTATTTTGGGACGACACGAAGAGTTCTTTCCAGGAACAATATTGTTTTATATTGGCGCAACTTAACTTTGACATGATTCTAATTAAGTTTTATTTTACAATACCAAAGGTGTTAAGCCTCAGCCATCAGAATGTTTTACCCTTATATTAACTATAGTTTTAGTTAGACCAACTTTGAATTTTTGGAAAAGTTATTTAATTACCTAAAATTATAGGTATCACAAACTACATCTTATGCCCAATATGATTAGTGATATGAACGGGTTTCTTTGTAGGAAACTTATTCATCAATGATTTTCTGATTTAAAGCTCTGTATATTAATAAATTTATCATTTTGACTTATTTGGTCATAATAATATCAGGGATATTTGAAATATTAGACAATTTTTTCATACAACGCTAACCAAAATTGGTTTTTCCTAGCGAAATATTTTATCCGCCTCTGGTATTTATTAGAAACATAAACGTTCTGTTTTTTACAAACAACATTTTCTTTGCGTCATTTTTTAATAAAACTGTTTCTATATAGTTTGAATAACATTTGTTAAATTATTAACATAATAGTTTCCAAATTACTTAATTGGTTATGTTTTTAAAAAGGAAAACTAAAAATTACAAATGACGGTATCAATTTTCTAGCTACATAGTTTTTTGTCCATTTCAAAGAGCGAAGGAGTAAATTATTTTTAATTCATTCTCCCCAAGTACCCAAAAGCGCTGTTGTAGTAGATCACGTTTTGTGACTAATCAAAAAAACGTTTCTAAAATGTGGACAGTGCAAACAAACTCCACAAATTGTTAAACGGTTTTTTTTTTTAATGTTTATATTACTAAGCAAAACGAATATAGAGGTATTGTTTTGTATGTACACCACAGCACAAACCATAAAAACACATTTTGATATTGATTTAATGCTTATATGCGTGGTTAAGACGGTATACACGTTTTACAATGACTTTGAAAGTTGTTTTCTTGTTTCGTTCTATATTTTTGATACACAGTAAAATGAAAAAAATATTTTCCTTGATGCTAAGATATCTTGATACAATGATGTTTTTGATTTTTCATCGTATCAGATGGCACTACCATATATCTGATGTACCCTAACTATCGACCATATAATTTATGCAATTGGTATTTTTAAGGGTCACGAGTTAAGTCAAAAGCTCACTCCTTCGCGCTTTTAAAATAGAAAAAAAAACGTGTAGCTCGATATTTCATACTGTCATATTTTGTTATTGTAAATCATAATATGAATCATCGAAGCACATTTTGTTCGTTAACTCACTTGCTCATTTCAGAATAGTTTTATAGAACCTATATATTGGCTATCCTTAATACCATACAAGTTTCTAAAGTTATGAGTAAATGTCTTGGTTTAACCAATAGCAGACAATTTTAGTTAACTCCAAACAGTTATTATACCCTAGAATTCTTACCCCGGTATTACTTATAAGCATTTTATTTGATAAAACTGTGATATAAAGTAATTTTACATGATGTACATACACATGGTTCAACAACCCTAGTTAAATTTCTAAACATGTGTTCCGTTTATAAACTGTTAAGTTCAACTGTTTGTCGTTTTCGACATTGGTTTCTTACAATGTGATACCTACTGTATTTTCGTTTTCAACTTTATATTCCTAGGTTCCCTAGAAGTGCTACTTTAACTTGATAATCATTACAACTTATCATCAACACTTACTTCATATACTATCTAGTATAAAAAATATATAATATAAATAAATTTAAACTAGCATCTATTTAAATATTACACACCACACTGGGTGTTCATCTCTCACTGAAATTTTCAGATTTAGATGTTGTTTGTGATAAAATAAATGTCCTAGGGCCAGCCAATGCCTTGGCACGATCAAGAAACACAATTATTCAGACACCTACAGATGTTCAGGTAGGCAACTTAATTGACACGCTTGGCAGGCGAGGCATTTGCAAAGGACCCAAGAGCTTATGGCGATGTGAGGATACAAATTATCTATATGCACGGAAATACTTCTTTTCGTTCTTGTAAGGAAGAAGTTATCGGACTTTCTTTGAGGTCGGGAAGCTTGTGGCCCTACACAAACTAAACTTGTTGCTACGGTCGTAGTGGATTATGTAACACCGACGAACAAACAACAGCATAAGAAAACATTATATATAAATTAGATTAAAAGTTATGGCAGTTGATCATCCATCACACAGCAGCCATACATGCTCATGCGCTAAATTCTAATTCTAAAAACTATCAACAAAACCATAAACTTCGGTATTAATACTTTATTTCATTGGGAGAGGTCTACTCTTTGTCGAAACATAAAATAAAATATTGGTAAATTGACGACTAAAGGAAGAGCATTAAACATTAAGGAAATTTAGGTCCTTTTTGTATCACTTCTAACCCCGAAAAAACAAATTATACCCTATAATCTGTTAAGTATTAAAACGTCATTCCGACAAACACACAGTGTTGTATAGATTATATATATATATATATATATATAATATATATATATTTTTTTTTTAATAAGCAGAACTTATGTGGTGAGAGCGGCGACATCTGTTTTGCAGAGTTGTGGGGAATTCGTTTGAAGAGGAATATCTTATATAACTATGAGTTGTACCACATACCTAACCCTACCGCGTGGCAGTCAAATACTAAGAAAGTATCGTTATCCTTTTTTCCGAGAACGGGTGGAATTTTATACTTCGCTTTTATGAGAACCGTTTTTTAAGTTCAAGGTCTAAAAATTTGATTAAAGATACGCGTGGGGCGTGTACGTGTAAAACATAAAACGAATTTCAACTAAAGTCTAAACATGGTATTTTATTATTAATTATTTTACATAATATTATTATGTTATTCGTTTCTTAAAAAACAATAAGAGTCGAAAATTATAGCTATACTATATATTTATTTATCTATTTTTTTATTAAAAAAAACCCCGAATCAAGCCGAAAAGATAAATCATTTTTGCAATTTAAATTAGATTAACTCAGTAAAACCGGATTTTCAAATTCCCCATCACTGCCATGTAATGCCGAGTACTCAAAAATTACTAAATACCATAATTTTTTTTTATGTTATAAAAATTCATGTTTTTTTGAGTTTTGATAGGTTATCAAACTATTTGAAAAACTATATAGACCTGACCGATGCAAAGGTAGCCACCGAATCGAAGGCGTTTTAAGTACAACTATTCATGATTTTTTTTTTTTAATAGAGCTATTTTTTTAGTTTTTAGTACTATTACAACAGCTATCACATTACACATGCACATACATCGTAGTTGAAATTAATTTTCAGTAATTAGGTGGATATACACATTCAGGAGATAATTTGTATAAGATATTATATTACCAAAAATCTATTGCTTAACTCGTAATGAAATATAAAGAATTAAGATAACTAAGATTCTCAATTATATTAAGAAGATAAAAATATTAATTTTTCTTATTGTGTCCATGATTGGGATTTGGGCATCCCTTAGTAGTTTTGAGCACAACAAATTGTATTATTTTGTAATTTTTCAGTTGTCCCCTTTATAATATTTAGGTAATCACAATAATTATTTATCACTACTGTAATTTTAGATGGTATCAAGTAAGAGAAGTGAGAGAATGCTGAAAATATTATATATATATATATATATATATATACCTTTTGGCGCATTATGGCGTGTACATTGTCAACAGCTGTTAGCAGAAATTTAACCATCCACCGAAATGACTAATCCCGCGAAAATGCCATTTAATTAATACAGCGGAAACTCAACTGTTGGCGTATTACGTCGCCTCCCGGTTAAGACTTCGGGGTTTTCTTTAGGGTTCTCGGTCGGTTTAACGGGGGCTTAAAGCTTTGCGAATTGAATACATTGACCCGGTAAACTTAATAATAACAACACGAATAAATTAAATAAACGTCACATTGTTTCACATAATAATTAGCAACCAAGACAAATGCATAGTCAACTTCTCCACTTTACCCATACAGACTTTGGACTAGTCTATGCTCATCCTATACATATATGTGATCGGCCAGCAAAATCCTATCGGCATTATCTATTCATATTTTATTCACTTAATATATGTCTCTACTTACAGTATCTTATATCTTACTTCTTCATCAGTCTAGCTTCGCCCTCTAAAACCCACCACCTAAATAAACCATCTTTGCATTTGGATACTATATAGTAAATGTTTTGTTTTCTACTGACTTTTTT